GTCGCTCTGTGGCCAAGCTGGAGTGCAATGGTGCCATCTTGGCTCACTGCAACCTCTGCCTCCCGGGTTCAGGCAATTCCCTGCCTCAGCCTCCCAAGTAGCTGGGATTACAGGCACCCACCACCATGCTCAGCTAATTTTTGTATATTTAGTAGAGATGGAGTTTTACCATCTTGGCCAGGCTGGTCTTGAACTCCTGATCTCATGATCCACCCGCCTCAGCCTCCCAAAGTGCTGGGATTACAGGCATGAGCCACCACACCCGGCCTGCCCCACACCTATTAAAGGAGATAAATTCAAACCAAGTCTTCTTATTCTAAATTTGTTTTTTTCCTGCCATTCTACCTCACAGACCAAAGATTACAGTCACACCAGTCAGTGTGAGTTTGTTATCTGTTAGATTAATCCAAAAAAGGAAGAATCAGGGTTTAAAGACTAAACGTACCTGCTTGAGATGGTCTACAGTGAGCGGCAGGTGCTGCAGGGTCAGTAGAATTTGCTGGAGGAGGGGAATGTTGTTGGTTGTCTTTGAATATGTTAGCCAACTGTTGAGAAGTTTGTAGCCACCGACGTCAATAAACCTGCAGGCAGTCAGGAGAGTATATCTGTAATGCCCCTTCTGGGTTTTGAAAGTACCACAGCCCACAATCCCAGTCTCCCATTAATGACCCAGAAAGAAACCCCACACCTCACTGCCCCCATCTTCTAGCTGTATCGTCCCATTCCAAACATCCAGATCCCCACTTACTTGACCAGTATTTCTGGTGAACGGGTCTGCAGGAGAATGTTCAAGTAAGTGCATCGACTCACCATCTTTCGTGCTTCCTTCATCAAACTGCACGAGATGAGTTAGCGTTAGAAATGAAACAGCCAGTATGTTTTCTCTTAGCAAAAGTGCCTCTCTTATCTGTGAATTGCCTAGAGATTCCTGATGACTTGGGACTTTGCTCCAGAGGAGGAGTACAACATGGAAACTTATGGGAGAACAGACACTGAAGTCTCTGATCTGGGAAGGAAACCATCACTGCTTCCCTAACACACAGGATGAATTTCAATCTGACTTCAGGTGATAAGACTAGCCCTCAACAACTGCTCCATACTGGCTTAGTTATTTACCCTCCCCCGGAAAACATGATAATCCCTGAATTAAAGTAACATTATAGGTAGGTGGAACACGAACCAAAACAATTTAGAATTCTGTCACCAGGCTCCCCTGCTCTCATTCCAAACCATGGCTCCCTTGAGACTGTGAATGTCCAAATCTCCAGCTTCCATTATGGTCAGAATCCCAGTGATCATCTTTTCCTATCCCTTAACCTAAAATTGTTGGATTTTAATCCTATTGCATTATCTTTCCCTTTCCATTCCAGAATCATTTCAGTCTGCCTCAACTGCAGCCATATTTTAACACACAATATTCTCTACTCACAATGAATCCAAAAAAGTTTAAAGACTCACCTGAAGATCTTGGAAATGCCATCCACACTTTTGACTTCCCCATCTCGGTTAAGGAAGCTATCCAGGCCCTTGAGAAGTTCCTTGGGGTCTATGGGACCCGAACCCATGATGGTGGTTTCTATGTTAAGAGGACAAAACAAACATACAGAATAAATGGGTGGCAAGGACTACCATCTCCACATCTGACAAAGTATAGTGACCAATTATTCAACTACACTATTATTTAGATACAAAAAAGCAACTGTCACTACCAAGAAAACAGCCCTGGCAAGTTAAGCATGGGAAGCATACGTTACTGAACAGGAAAGCAATCTGACTGGAGGACGAGAGCAGCACACTGTCCCTCCCTCCCAGCAGCATCCTTCCTAGGATGGCTGAACTGCACTAGATCGTACTAGAGCTAAGACTCAGTTCTCATAACAAGATGTTCAACTCTCCAGGGCATTTTTACTTAATTAAGTCCTGTCTTCCCTAGTTGCTGATAAATTTGGCTTGAAAAACGGCCTGTAAGCTTGACAGAAATTGGGCCAATCTTGGGTGTTTGGGCTAAACGTGTTGTAAGAGCTGATTCCTTTTTATCTTGGCCCATTAAGAATCATATTCACAGGCCGGGCGCGGTGGCTCAAGCCTATAATCCCAGCACTTTGGGAGGCCGAGGCGGGTGGATCACGAGGTCAACAGATCGAGACCATCCTGGTCAACATGGTGAAACCTCGTCTCTACTAAAAATACAAAAAATTAGCTGGGCATGGTGGTGCATGCCTGTAATCCCAGCTACTCAGGAGGCTGAGGCAGGAGAATTGCCTGAACCCAGGAGGCGGAGGTTGCGGTGAGCCGAGATCGCGCCATTGCACTCCAGCCTGGGTAACATGAGTGAAACTCTGTCTCAAAAAAAAAAAAAAAAAAAGAATCATATTCACTACAAGTAGCCAGATACGTATCAGCTGAAGTGGCAGATAATAGAGAACAAAACAAAACTTGAAAACAGAATCCCTCCCCAAGGAGATCTGGGGATAGGTCCCAGAAAGGGAGACAAATGGATGCAAGGAAATCAAGCAGGTCCTCTAGCGCTTGAATAGAATGTTACTCATTAATCAAACACTGCACAAGCTTTTACTGTCTCCAAGTTAAACTGAAGCTAGTGGTTTCTGCTTTCAAAAGCAAAGACGCAAATCTGGTCCTCTCCTCAAAATTCACACTGTCCAAGATCCCCCAGGAAAGCCTAAAACTGAAAACCAGGGAAGCTAAAGAATGGAACAAATAAAGCCAAAGGCTAGAAAAATGCCCTTAAATTTTAAGCAGCTGTTTTAGATCAGAGTGGAAAAGAATTAGTTAAAAGCCAAGCTCCTTTTATGGAAGGGACAGAAGTGCGAAGCAAGTTCTAGGCCACAACTGAAGTTCCAGAAAGGTAATTCAGGATCAGTAAGGTTCTAATTGGGATTTTTATCTACACTGTCTCTAAATACTTCCTTCTAAGAACCAAAAAAGAAGCCAGGTGTAGTGGCTGATACCTGTAATCTCAAGCACTTTGGGAGTCCAAGGTGGGCAGGCTGCTTGAGCACAGGAGTTTGAAACCAGCCTGGGCAACATGGCAAAACTTCCTCTCTACAAAATGTAAGCCAAGTGTAATGGTGTGCACCTGTAGTCCCAGCTACCCGGGAAGCTGAGGTGGAAAAATGGGAGGATTGTTTGAGCCCAGGGACATCGAGGCTATAGTTAGCTGTGATTGTGCCACTGCACTACAGTCTGAGAGACAGAGTAAGACCCTGTCTCAAAAACAAAAACCACCAAAAAAGAAAACCATTTCAGCAGTAACTGCCTTTGGGCAATAAGGGCAACACTGGGTAGCAAGGAAGAGGCAAGGACAAAATCTTCCTCACCCTACATCTAGCACAGAGAAAACAGACACAATCCCAGCAGGAGGATAGAAAAATCAGTTTTTTACAAAGATGAGTATTTTTGTGTGTTAAAAAAAAACAAACAGGTTCCTTGTAAGATAATGCAAATTGGTTCTATTTGTTCTCAAACAAAAGAAAAACATAAGCATAACAATCTCAGGCTTTTAATCTTCCTAACAAAAAGGTCAATAAATCTCCAAATGTGTAGATCCTAACAATCTGGGCAAGCAGAGGCGGCAGCCGGGAAGGGATGAGGTAGGAGTACAATCCTGGCTCTGGAGATCACAACCTGTGGGCTGAACAGAGGGAGAGGAGATGAGGCAAGAAACGTTGAGAAGTCGCTGCTGCCCTGGAACCTCCACAAGTACAAGTGGAACCTGAGGTCAGAGAAAAAACATTCAAGGAGAATACTGGAAAAGATAAGACGTCCGTGGGCCAAATCCACTCAAGTGTGGTAATTCTTACACACACAGAAATAAAGGTTATTTTTCCCATGAAGTGAGATACTATAAAGTGATCTATAGAAACTATAAAGAGATATGATAAAGGGACACATAAAACAGATATCACATCTGCTGGAAACTGGAAAAGCAATGAATGGGTTCCAATAACAACATATCATAAGCAATCAAGAGACTAAGAAATTTTTAAAACTCTATATACACACGTATCTACCATTAGATTCCCAAAGCAAAATATATGCAATTTGACAAAAGGCCTTGAATTAAACATCATTTCAAGCCAGTTCTCCTTGACTTGATCCAAACCCAGAGCTGAATATATATAACCCTGGAGAATTCCCTTTTGTATATCCAACTACAAGCTAAGCCAATAGACCTGCTACCCCTATTTACTTAAAAAAAAAAAAAAAAAAAGAAGAAAAAAAAAGTCATCTGAGCTCAAATATTCTTTAAGAGGATGGGAGATGAGAGGAGTCAGTCTTAGAAAGATGGACCAAAGCTAAACTGTCCAGTGCCCTCTGCTGGCAATGGGATCCAGGGACTTTTTTATTCCCATTTGTATAAACAGGAATAAAAGACATTAATACCCAAAGGGAAGCTAACAAAGCAAAATCAGTGTTAAATATTCATTTTCCATTACTTATATACTTTGTGGAAACATAAGCGAAATTCTGTCTCATGAGCACCAATCTTGATAAAATGTAAGTGGGTTTCCTCACAATGGCCTTCCTACAGGCAGATTAGTTCTTTTTAAAATTAAGGACCCCACACGCCTTACAACCTCGTTTCCTTACTTTGAGGTCAGCGTATTTTGGGAAAAAACCAAACAAGTTCCAAGGCACTCTAGTGGAAAGGAATGAAAAGTCCAACATTCCAGGCACAGGCCTACAGCAGAGAAGGCAAACTGAGTTGACAAAGGCAGGCAGGGGCCGTGACTGTCGTAATATTACCTACTCAAGCTCTGGAGCCTAGAATGAAAGCTTGAGAAAGCTTTTTGGAACCATAAATAATCCAGGGCATGATTATGTCTTCTTTTAGTGAGCTATTTCCTTGACTGCAGAACATACAGAAGGTGGGGGCTGAGGCAGCAACCCCCGGCCTACCTCCACCTCATTATAAGCTATGCTTTTCCTTATGGAGAATGTTTTGGGGAGAGCCATGCTCTATTGGGACAAGGCACTGGGGAATTTTCTACCATTCTTACCAGAGATAAACGTCTGTGACACCGACTCCTGCTTTCAAAATGGATTTTACTTGAGGGTTATTCAATTAAATAGGGTGAAAAAATATCCAGCATACCTAAAGTCATTCCACATCCATTGCCAATGAAACAGGACTAAATTGGTTCACGACAAAAATTCTGCGCAAGCCAGAGCCCTTTAAAAAATGGTAACTGTTTTCTAACAAAAGAAGAAAGGAGTCCCAAATTTACCTTAATTTAGAGGCACTTCTGGAAATGAAAATGATTTGTACCTAACCCCTTATGTTCCCCTTCCTTTTTCTACAGTGTTTTAGGCATTTTTTAGTTTGACTCAGTAGTGGACTGAATTATGTCTCTCAAGTGATTCATCGCAAGGTCGTAGCTTTCTTCCAAGTAGTAAGCCCCTACCTTTCAAAGTAATTTTGCAAACCTGATACATGAGCTCCTCAAAAGCTTATCTGCCTTTCAATAAGGAGGCAAAATGATACACCACCCCTACTCATAAAGACCCCGGACTAGAACTCTGGCCACAAACTACAGGGATCAGCTTTTCCAAGATTCTCTGATGGATCTGGTTCCCCTAGTAGACCTTGCTTCCCATTTCCCATGTTAAGGACGACCTTTATTAATCCCCTGGCTCACTAGAGATCAGGAACCCCACTGGGTAGAATGTTCAGCTCCCAAGGAAGGTATGCTGCAGAGGCACATGGCAAACTGCTTAAAAGAAAAAAACAAAACAAAAAAAACTTGTGGTCAATAGACGTGTGGAAGAGTCCCTCCCATCCAATCCAGAAGTTTAAGTAGTAATTTGAGAATCTGTATCCAGCAGAAAATTAGCCCTAAGTCTCACCCAAGTCACCACAGGGCAGTATACTTTCCATTCCTGCCTAGAACCTCCACGCTTCAGTGCAGGACTTTTAAAAATGAAAATTATATGCAGAGTCTGATAAAGATTTGATTTTGAAAAAGTTGGGGGAAGAAAAGAAAGGAACCAGACACCCAATACCACCCTCAGATAGGGCATGGCTTGAGCATGCACCAAATGCCACAGCACTGCACGAGTTGAAAAATGAAGAGGACATTTTTTCATTAATGCTTTTAAGGAATTTCTTTTAGAAGGGAAGGAAAAAAGAAATTCAAAAAAGGTGGCTCTTTGGAAAAAAATAAATGAAAGTTGTGAAATGTAATACCAGAAAGGTTTTGCTTACCAGAAACCGTAGCTTGATTCCCCCTGCCTTGAGTTTACAACTGCCGCCTCCTTTCCTAAAGATTCACTTCTCATCCTAGTACCAATGTACAGGAACTAAGCAAGTGGAGAACGTGATACAGCACTGAATACAGAGTTTAACCCCAAACTGAGGTGGGAATGAGGGTGATTTAGAAGAAAGTCCTTTAAAGTACCCACCTTCCCCGAGTCCCATTACACAAAGCGACCAAATGCAGGAGGCCCAGACTGGTTCCTGAGCAGAAATGGCACATTTCAGTGTCATTAAGCCCCAGTTTATCTCCAAGTTACTCTCGCAAGCCCTTGTGTTTCTCCCATCTACCCCTACACACATATATACATACACACACACTCACACACAACCTCAAAGCTTCCCAGTCTTAGGTTTGCCTGTTTTTTCACCCATGGCAGCTAAGGTGGGGAAAAATTACACGCTGTTGTGATGAGAGAAGGAAAGTGAAAATAAAAACTGGTTCTATAAAAACTAGAACTACTCAAGGAAATGGACAGCCTTTGTACTTAACTCCTACAAGCTCTTATCCCTTTAAGATATTTTAAAGGAAGTAAGGAAAATGTCTTCTCCCTAGCAGCAACGAGCACAGGGAGTGCAAAGGCATCTGCTCAGGGGTGGAGCCACAAGAGGGTGGAGAAGGGAGGAAGCAAGCTGATTACATCACCTTTCAAAGCTGCTCCTCCCCCTTGACCAAGTTTCTAGGGCGGCCCTAAGCTCAGGATGGCAGAAGGGGGAGAAAAACAACAAAGACGGAGGGACGCCATTTTGTAATGGAGAAAGAGGACTCCAACTTTAAAAAGCCACCCGGTTCTGCCGGTAGCTTCAGTTACACCGTAAAACACCTTTAGTAAAAAACCAAAAGCCAGTTCCCCATCCTGAATAACCTTTGACCTATTTTGATCAGTAAGAGCGTAGTGAAAATTACAGCAATTAAATATCAAAAAGAACAGTTTTCTGCAGGGAAGAACTGAATTTGCAACGGAGGCTAAACCAGCTACCATCGACCACCCCCATCCTCCCTATAGAGGGAAAAGGGGGAGGAAGGACTTGGACCCCTCTCAACAAATAGGGTTGAGGTGGGAGGACAGGAAAAAAAAAATGGGTCAAGACACAACCTGCAACGCCGCTTGGAAGACAAAAGGACAAGGAAAGTCGCCATATTGAAGCAGGGAAGAAAAAAATTCCTTTTAACGACACAAATCTTTTAGAAAGCTAGCATTCAATTGCACTAAATGGCTTTTAAAATTATACTCCTAAATTCCACATTTCCCAACCTTTCCACCCTCTATTTAACTGTACCTCCCACCAAAAAATATCAAGTAAAAATGTTAATCACTTTTTTGCTTTTAAATACCTATGCAATCTGCAACAATTACAAGACATTTTTTACCTCCCCAACTATTATCTTGTTATGTACTGGCACTGATTATATTTTGTCCTAAATTAAGTGTCTTGCAATCTTTATTCCTAGATTGCCACCTATTTTAAACCACACAAATATATCCCAAGCAAATTACATTAAAATTGAGAGGATTTAACAGTCATTTAAAAAGTTACAGCGAGCTATTTCTCTGCCCATCTCCTTACCCTGCAATCTTTATGTACAGATTGCTTATTAATCTGGCAAATTGAAAGGCACCCTGCTTGTCTCACACACAAAGAAGTGGTACTTCTGGGCCACAAGATCCACCATCTCTTGTATGTGAGCTCATTAACCCTTTTGAAGACTGCTGCTAACCAGAGGAAGGTAACCATTCCTCCTTATATAACACGTATGGCTTTGGCAGTCTGGAAATTGGCTGGATTACCAAGGGTTAACCATCAAAATCCTCACTTGCTGGCCCTCCCTCCACCCTCTCCTTGCCTGCAGCAGGGCAGGGAAGAGATAGGTGGTCAGGGAGAGAGAACAAGACTGTTTAGACCCACAGGCTCTTTTTAACGGAGATTAAGTGACCAGATTGGTCCTTCTCCAGTTCTCTATTTGTTCTATGGTCTCATTTCTTCCTCTCATTATTTTTGGTTTCACAACGGGAAACGTTGATTTCTTGTTGCAAGGCTGGTTTTTGAAAATTCGACACTTACTATCCAAATTTTTTGCGACGTCAGCACCTCGGGCTCAGGGGGGAGGGGGTAAAATTTTGGAGGAAAAAAAATAAAACAACCAACCAGGACCCAAAACTCAATTATTTAGGGGGCCTCATTGGATCAAAAAGTCTTTTAAAAAAAATGAAGGCCAACTCAGTATTCATTTCCCCCCCCACCCAACTCCATTTAGGGAGGGGGGTCGCAGAAAAAAGTTCTGAGTGGATTCAAAAAAAGTAAACGCTGGATGAGTGAATTTGGGTGGTTTGGGAAGGGAGGGTGGTTGATTATTTTTGAAGTTATGTGGTGACGGTCCTTCGGCCACAGATTTCAAGTCCCAAGCAGCATGGGCTGGTGGGGTGGGCAAGATAGGTGGGAAGGGGTAGAAGACACAAGTGGTTGGGCTGGTGGCTGCTGTTTTCCCTTTCCCCCCGCTCTCAGGATCCTTTCAAGGGCTTAGATGTTGCTGCGGCTTGTTTCTGTTTTCCTCGTGGCCGGCCTGTCTTTCTCCGAGAAAATTCAAACCTGGGATAAAAGGAACACAAGGGAGAAAGATGTAATCAGTATGGGTTTCTTCAGAAACACCCAGAACTGCCACCTTTGTTGTCCCAAAACACATCTCTGCGTCCCATCATAAACACAGCCGCTTTATTTATGACGTGGATGTCAAATGAACCCATCCCGACCCCACTTCCCAGATCCAAAGAGCTCCGCAAAATTTTACCCACTAAACGACAAACCAGCCAAACTTACCTCTAAACGAACCCCAGAATGGCGGCCGCCCGCTCGGGTGGAGTGTTTTATACCGGGACGCCGCCCAACGCCCCCAAACGTGCTAGTGAAACGCCCTTGTCGCGAGACATTGTACGCGAGGCGTAAACTCATTGGTCAACCTAAATGACAATTCGCCAGCTGATTGGGTACTATCCCTTCGCCTTCGTTCCGCCCTTTCCCTGGCACTCTCTTCCGCCTCCTTCTTGGCCCCCCTGTAGCGTGCGCGTGACTAGAGAGCTTAGCTCCTCCCTTTCCTCTGCTCCACCACTTCCGCCCTGGAAAACATTTCTCACCCATGATTGGTAGAAACATCCCGGCGCATGCGCACTGAGCGGATCCTGGTCAAAATCGCTTTCAGAATTGCTTAAAATGCAAATTCTAACAATGAGATCTAAAAGTCGTAGTGACTGGTCCCGAAAAAAACCAATTTTGCGGTCTAATTCGATTGTGACGCAGTTGAAATTAGCTTCTCCCCAATGCCCTCGCTTTCACGCTTCCGTCCTGACGCAAACGTGCGGCCGCCTTCCGCACTGCGGGCTTGCCCTTGGCCCTGCCCTAGTCAGTTTCCTGAGGCATGCGCAGTTGCCTTTCCGTCCATTCCTGTGCTGGGCGTACGTCAAGATGGCGACGTCCGTATTAAACACCCTGCTGAGGCGGCTTCCTATCCTTTCTCTCTTCCGAGGTGCCCACAGAGTTCAGGTAACTCCTCAAAGGACATTTTGCACAACCCCAAGTTGGTTATACCATTTCTAGGTCGTCGCTCCACTGTCAGGAATCCACGAGTGGAAACCTTCCCACGTGCTGATGTCTTGTCTCTAGGCAGTACTTCCTGCAACCCCCTCCCATACACCGTGCGTTTTCTAATTCCGAGCCGAAGACTAAGCGCCAGGGCTAGGTGTCATCCTTTTTCCAAAATACCATCTCAGTAAAATAACTAAGTGATGGAATTGAACCCCGTCCACCCCCGGTCATGTATAACCAGCTCCTGTGTTTTTTTTTTAATCATTTAGGGGTCACGCTAATCTCTGTATCGTTACAGTTTTACCACAACATATGTGCTCCCCAAGAGAGCGCCACAATCAGGTCTTAACTATGCAGGTGGTGTCTAAATCTGTGTTGCTCTGGAATGTACTTAGGGAAATTGGGGGTCCTAATTTCTATCAACCTTGCTATGTCCCAATAAGGTCAGTATATATTCTTATTACCTGAGGACAGTTTCTCGGCTTTTTTTTTTTTTTTTAAATCAGTTTTCTGTCGGAATTAGGAGAGCTTACCAGTTTCCCTCCAGTCTTATGTACTCACCTCTCTGAGGTTCTTGGTGGGGTACGGTGAGATAGGAAGGCTTGCCCAGCTGCCACTCCCTAAAGTGGAACTGAAGAGTAGTGACAGAGGTCAACACAGAGTTAATAACAGCCTTGGTAGTTTTAAAGCTAGCGTTAGGACTCAAGTTTGTTCTGCCCTGTGGAATGTTGGCCTTCAGCTTTTATGAAACTGGGCAACTCAGTGACTTGATTGATTTGGAGACTCACCTGTCTTCTGCATCCCCTCCCCACCACACATCTTACTTCCGAGAGCCTAGCCATCCTTTCTTTTACTTTGTTCTTCCACCAGACTCAATTCATTTCCAAAAAGCACAAATACCTTTTATGTGCCAGATTTTTTGTCTTCTGAAATAAGATTGGTTTCCAGACATATATTCCCCAACTTAGCTTTTCTTTCAGGATCCAGTTGTAGGAAAGGAGAGTGGTTGTTGGTTTATGTCAGTTTAAGCCCAACAAAAATGCTTAACTTACATATGTATTCCTGATATATTCCATTAATGCAATATGTGTGCATTCCTCCTCTTTCCAAAGTGTGATAAGCAAAAGAATTGAGTGCTTTCCCTGAACTCATTCTTTTATTTTTTTCTTCTTGTTTATAGGTTCCCCTCCAGACTCTTTGCACCAAAGCTCCTTCTAAGGAAAAGTCTTTGCCCCTGGTTCCCATTTCTCCTTATGAGAATGAGCCTTGGAAATACCTGGAATCAGAAGGTACCTCTAAATGGGGAAAGGGAGGGTCAGGAAGGATTTGAGATAAGTGGACAGAGTCACCCACTACGCTCCCACCCGGGAATAACTTGTATGATTTTTCATTTCAGAATACCAGGAGCGATATGGTTCTCGCCCCATCTGGGCTGACTACCGCCGCAACCACAAAGGTGGTGTACCCCCACAGCGTACTCGGAAAACATGTATTGTAAGTTTCTGAGAGTGGAATGTGGAGTAGGAGTAGAGGCCACAGTGACAGTAACAGCAGCACTTTTTCTGACAGAGGTTTGAACATCCTTAACTACCAGTTTTTTTCTCTGTACAGCGTGGGAATAAAGTTGCTGGGAATCCCTGCCCCATCTGCCGAGATCACAAGTTGCATGTTGACTTTAGGGTAAGGAGAATCTTTTGTTTTTATGGTAAGAAAAATAAAGATTTCGAGCTCCTTTGTAGTGCCAAAGAGATTACTGTAGGTGCCCCACATTTCTTCATATCCTAGAGCCCCTGCAGTTTACTTGTAGTAACTGTTTCTGGCACTATAAAAACATCCCTCTCTCCAGCCTTTTACCTTCTACTATGGATTGTACTGAAAAGTTTTAACCTATGCTTCTGAAATTGACAGTCGAAATTGGCAGGTAAGAGAAAAGGCTATTTCTTTTTTTTTTTTTTCTTTTTCAGTTTGAGAAATGGCTATTTTTAATGAGACAGCAGTATTCAAAGATACTCGTTTGT